AATTTGAAATATAAACAATAATATTTAATCATACTTCCCAAAAATATTGTTGAAAAACACTAGAGAAATAACAAAACTATTAGATATACGGAAACGAAAGTTTTCCCCATATCTTTCGGGCGTACACTTATTTTTTATTATTTACCCTCTTATTTATTCACAATGTTATAAAATTTTCGTCTATCAAAGACTTGTAAAGGAATATACTCGTAAATTATGAAGCAGCATAACATGTCGGACCCTTCTTCCTTTTTGAATAATTTTACGTTTCCGGAACTTGAATTACTTATAGATTCAACGTTTCTGAACCGTTCTAAAATTTAATTTTTCTTTCACAAGGAATTTTAAATGAATTATGAATGAACGCGTTGTTTTCACTTGTGTCAAATTGTTTTTTGTGTGTTGAATTATTTTACTGTGACCTTAGAGGCTAAAAGTTACAAAATATGGCTACTAATAAAAATTAGGTAGTTTATTTAAATAGTTAGATTGTCTGTTACATAATATGTTGTTTGTTTGTACCTTTAACGTTATATAGTCATTTTATACTTATTTATACTAAGCTTATCTAGCTTACCTAGCTAGATCTGTTTAAATTGAAAGAATTATATTTGTTTATTCGTTACAAACATAGTATAGCACCAATCTATACTAATATTATAAATGTGGAAGTGTTTGTTTGTCCTTTTTTCACGTCGAAACGGAGAGACAGATTCGCGTGATTTTTTGTGTGGAGATAGTTGGAGGTCTGGAAAGTGACATAGGCTACTTTTACCGCGGGAGATTATCTAATTCCCACGTAAAAACAAATGCAAAAAAAATTATAACCTGAATTACTTGAAACTTGGTATTATTGCTTTTCAATAAAATAAAAGAAATACTTAAAAAAAAGCATTTTTCGAAATTAATTCTATAAAGAGGTAAAATAGAATATTTTTTTTGTAGTTTTAGTGCGAGCGAAGCCGCGGGTTCAGCTAGTATATAATAATTCAATGTCATACCGTAATTCTACTTAAGCTTAGAAACCCTAATTTAATTAAACTAACTATAGGTATAACTATGACTGTCTAATCCAGTTTAGTTTAGTTTTCGTCATCTGCTAAGACAGCTACAATTTTGTAAGGACACCGACATAATATTTCCATTTCTGTGCAAATTGCAGGGGTATTTATTGTTATACTGGCAGAACCCGCGGCTTCGCTCGCGCTAAAACTACAAAAAAATCTCTAAAAAAGTAGTTTCATACAAACTTTCTTCACCTATTTTACTTCCATAAAGGATAAATTTCGAAAAATGTTAAAACACGTATTTATTTAATTTCATTGAAGAGCATTAATACTAAGTTTCAAGTAATTCTGACCATAAATATTTTTATTGATTGTATTATAACGTGTTTTTCCCGTGGGAATTAAATAATCTTCCGCGATAAAAAGTAGCCTATGTCACTCTCCAGCTCTCCAACTATCTGCACACAAAAACCATGCCAATCCGTCACTCCGTTTCGACGTGAAAGTAGGACAAACAAACAAACAAACAAACAAACAAACAAACAAACAAACAAACAAACAAACAAACACACTTTCACATTTATAATATTAGTATGGACTTACACCTTCTGACAAAGTAATTATTAGCACTATGAATACACTTGTAATGTAGCGAGCGTAGGTATGGCGGACATCCTTATAGACGCGTAGATACGTTAACCAAGATTGTTATGGCAATTTACATCTGAAACATAATATTCAAATACTTTAACATTTATACATACACTAGTATTGCCCGCGGCTCCGCCCGCGCTCAAATGACCAAAAAGCAAATTCTTAGTTTTTACATATTAGTATACTCTTACAATACAGTTTTTGTAGTTTTTCTCAGAAATGAGATATTTCCCCGCGGTAAAAAGTATCCTATATGTTGACCCAGATAACCAGCTACCATCATACCAAATTTCATTAAAATCTGTCCAGTGGTTTTCTCATCTCTCAGACAGACAAAAATTCTAAAAACTATAGATTCGGACTCTGATATAGAGTAATAATGTCTATTTCAATAAGATTTTCCAAAAAGTATTTAATGTACAGATTCGACTTAGTTACAATTTTATTATATGTATAGATTATGTACCTATTAATAGAGAAAAAATACTTTATCAAGCTATTAAAAATTACTTTTATGCTCTGTTGTAATGGCTACTTCAACTTGATAGAAATATTGTAAATTATAATTTTACTTTAAAAAAATATAACAAGTCAATATTAGTCCTGCTGAGTTTCTTTCGCCAGTTCTTCTCAGATCTGAGGCTTCTTCTTTCCGAACTGGTAGTAGACTCATGACGTTCAGTAAAAAATTGTAATAATTTAATGCTGAATAAAATATTTAGATTTTGGATTTTTGGTGTAATTTAAGAGTAAAACAGTTTTATAGAAGTAAGAAGTAAGTAGACTAAGTAGATAGAGATGAGATAAATAATCTCACTAAAAATGTATATCACTAAATGATAGTGCCGCTATATGTAATCCATTGGTTTCTATAATCTATCCCACCGAAAACTTGTATCTGGGTTAAAAAATAGTATTTGATGGAAAATTTAATATGAGTCTAACATTCTGGAGGTTATCGGGTGCAAATAGCCATTTAAATGTTTTTACTGTCTAAGTTTATTTATAAGTAACTGTAGATTAACGTTTGATTTCGGATTTCTTTAAAATATACCTATGCTAATTTTGCTAGTTAAGTCTTTATAGCATCCGCCGTGTGGCTTTATCCTCCCTTAGTAGATCCTCCAACCTTGTCTTTATAGAGGCAGCCTGTGTAGAGCCAGTCTCTAAGCACGTATTAAACTAAGAGAGCTTAATATATACATCTATACTTATTATAAAAATAAGTCCCCCGGCCGCGTCTTTCTGTCCTCCTGTCTGTCCTCCTGTCTGTCTGTACGCGATAAACTCGAAAACTACTGAACGGATTTTTATACGGTTTTCAACAATAGAAAGAGTAATTCTTGAGGAAGGTTTAGGTATATAATTTATTATGCTTTTATGTAAATTAGCTGAAATACGGCGACAAATGTTGAAGAGGTCGCAAAAAATCTCGCCAAATGGGAACTTTCCACGCGAACGCCGCGTAAACTAGCAAAGATACAGTTAAGTAATGTACTAGAGAATTCAAAATCTATAAAAATGCTACAAAAAAGTCCGCGATAGCATATCTCTATCTCTTACGGTTGACTTACAATAACCACTTTTATGTTAACATTTTTAATTAAAAACATTACGTTATTTTCAAAGTTATTTTCTTTAGTTCGGTATTAATCCTTATCCAAATGAATATTTTAGTTAGCTTAGTCATTTAATGCAGATTAAAATTGCTCTTTACACTAAATCAATCAGATGAATAGTTTTTGAGATATCGTTGTTAGAAGTAATTAGTAGCGAAACATTTTTAATGCTTGGCGAGCATTGAGATGCCTACGGCGAGTCCATCCCCTCTGCCCCGCATCGCTCGACCGCCTGCTCAAGCTATATAAACCGGGCGATGTAGCGCGCGATCCTAGGATACTTTTTACCGCGGGAAAATATCTTATTTCTGAGGAAAAATACAAAAACTGCAATGTAAGAGTATACTAATATGTAACACCTAAGAATTTAGTTTTTGGTCATCTGAACGCGGGCGGAGCCGCGGGCAATGCTAGTAAATAATAAAATTGAAACCAAGCCAAATCTGTACATTAAATATTTTTTGGAAAATCTTATTGAAACAAACATTATTATCGATACAGAGGTCGAATCTATAGTTTTTAGAATTTTAATCTGTCTGTCTGTCTGTTACCGCATCACAGAAAAAACCACTGGGGGGATTTTGATGAAATTTGGTATGGTGATAGCTGGTTAGCCGAGTCAATATATAGGATACTGTTTACCACGGGAAAATATCTCATTTCTGAGAAAAATACAAACACTGCACTGTAAGAGTATACTAATATGTAAAACTTAAGAATTTGCTTTTTGGTCATCTGCTGCCAAACCGCGGGCAATGCTAGTCTGTAATAACAGTATGTATACGTCATACATATAATCATAATAAAACGTAAATAACTCACGTATAAGGTAGTTTACGCGATTATACTAACTTGATTATATCAGTAAATGCATTTTGTAATAATTTCCGGTATGTACGTACATATCATGAACGAATTAGATTCGTTCATGGTACATATATACTTACTAAATATAATTACTTATTTAAAAATAAATATATGTAGATATCTACATATGTAAATGCTCATTTTTCAGGAATTTACTTGCAGAGATGTTTTCAAATGTTACATTATTCAGAATATTTATACATAGACCAACTTAAGGTATAATATTTTGAAATATTTTTTTATGAACATTACAAAGTAGAGCCTGTTCTTAGTCCGCGTTCACTCAACTCTGGGATTAATACCTCTTCATTATTGCCAGCCATTCGCAGGACAGAGGGAGCCGCGTCCCTCTGTTTATCTCAGCACGATTTTACGATCCTCTATACGATACTACCATTTACTAGTACGAGTATATGTAGGTAATAAATATAGTATATGTATATACTGCAATCTTTATATGACTTATTGTCTATAAAAATTATAATGTGATGGCTCTTGTAACTTAAAGAGAACATAAAGTACATACAGATTTTTTTCTATTCAGTTATTTATTTAAAAAATGGCGTTTATCGTAATGTGTGATAGAAAAGTTACTTTAAATCGATCTTTATATTATATCAAACATTACACAATCAATCACACATCTGATCACTTCACAAAGTTTTCTTGATTGTATGTATTTAAGTTATAAAATACACTACCCGCTACAAACAAACTTATAGTTTTACCTATTTATAATATAAGTGTACATATTACAGAAGATCAATAACATTAAAAATGTAATTTGTTCTAAAATAAAATACATTTAAAATTAGTTTATTATTATTTTACTTATATTAAAAACTTTTTGCAGGTAGGAATAGCCGAAGGATCATCATTAGGATCAAGTTGCCGATCGAACGGAGAGTGTAGGGTTACAAACGCACGATGCTTGAAAGGCGTGTGCGAATGTCAGCCATACTTTGCGCGGGTTGACAACTCTACCTGTCTTGAATGTGAGTATATTACCTATAATTATAACAGCTCGATGAAATAAATGTTTAATATGAAGAACTTATTATTTAAAAAAAAAGTTGGCCGTCTCAGGATGTGCGGCAGATGTGAAAAATCTTACTTTGCTAATATTAGAATTCATAATTAATAAATCTATAACGAAATATGGAGTAAAAAAAAGAAAAAATAGTTACGTTAATCATTTTTTTTGGTATAAACCAATCATAAAATACTTATATGTCAAATGCAAACATTACCTCAATTTGGAAATACAAACTCAGTTTTATTTCACTGTCTTTCATTACATGTCTCAGTCGGATATATATTAAACTAGCGACTAACCCTTGCTTCGCTCGGATGCGTCCCTCGGTATGTTTTAATGTTTTCAGCGGAACCTAATTCTTATTCTAAAATAACAGTATTAAGTTACTCCATATAACATCAAGTATCTGCCAGTAAACATTTCGTCAAAATCAGTGAAGCCATTTCGGAGATCAGCCGGAACAAACAAACAGACAGATAAATAAAAATTATAACAATTGTTTTTTTTCTTATAAGTACCGTATATAATTTCATATATAATACAAACAGAGTCTTGTGTAGATAAAAGAGTAAGAATAACAATAACACGTTTACAACTAGACTTAGCTTAAGTGAAATAAATGAGTAAAATTCCAGACTAGAAAAATATTTTTACAAATACCATTATTAATTTTATGGTAAAATTGCATAAAATTTTAGTGCATTGGGTGTAAATTAAATTAACAAGTACAAGACAAAAGAAATAAGAAAAAGCTAGTACCAAGTAGCCAATCACGACGTCGCAAGGTGGAAATTAAGAGTAATCTATACATATAATAAAATTGTAACTAAGCCGAATCTGTACATAAAATATTTTTTTGGAAAATCTTATTATAGTAGACATTATTATCGATACAGAGGCCAAATCTATAGTTTTTAGAATTTCTGTCTGTCTGTCTGTCTGACTCTTCCGCATCACGATAAAACCACTGGAGGGATTTTGATGAAATTTGGTATGATGGTAGCTGGTTATCCGGGTTAACATATAGGATACTTTTTACCGCGAGAAAATATCTCATTTAAGAGAAAAAAATACAAAAACCGCAATGTAAGAGTATACTAATATGTAAAACCTAAGAATTTGGTTTTAGGTCCTCTGAACGCGGGCAGAGCCGCGGGCAATGCTAGTAAGAACTATTAAGTATGTTTAATGTCATTGACACGTAACTCATAAAATACTAAATTACCTAATAGATTGCATATTATAAGCGGTCTGCGGTAAAGTTACAGAATTGCTTTCACTCGATAGACCATTAAACTTCTTTAACGTAGATTACAGGAAATAACTTTAGTTGACCATAGTTAGTTTTAAATGTTTTGTTATAATCGAATTTTAATATGTTTAATAACTTTTAACGACTGAAAATTTTAAATGAAAGTTATAAATAGCAACTTGATAGCTTAGAATTTAGATGATTTGATGTTTATGTGTACAAATTACTTAGCGTTATATAGAAAAGTACTTTGTTTTTATGATACAAAATAATTGATTTTTTTTTAAAACCACGTACATAGTAAATATTACTTGCATACGACTCATATACATATATCCATACATATAATAAAATTATAACTAAGCCGAATCTGTACATTAAATATTTTTTGGAAAATCTTATTGAAATAGGCATTGTTATCGATACAGAGGCTGAATCTATAGTTTTTATAATTTTTGTCTGTCTGTTATCGCATCGCGGGAAAATCACGAGGGATTTTGATGAAATTTGGTATGGTGATAGCTGATTATCCGGGTCAATATATAGGATACTTTTTACCGCGGGAAAATGTCTCATTTTTGAGAAAAAATACAAAAACTGCAATGTAAGAGTATACTAATATGTAAAACCTAAGAATTTGGTTTTTGGTCATCTGAACGCGGGCGGAGCCGCGGGCAATGCTAGTTTAAAATATTATGTCAAGTTCATGCTGCATGTTCGGCAAATAGGCAGGTAACTTAGGTATTTCATCAATGGATTCGTTATCCCACGCTATTTCATTTTTCTCTTATTTTGAAGAAATAAAATAAATAAAATGAAGCCTTCATACAAAACAAGTAGTAAATTACGTATAGTAAGTATAAATTACGTAAGATTCTCGTTTCATATTTCTGAAGAAAAATCTCAGTGATTTATGCTTGGATATAAAATAAAACTGGCAAAATACTTATTGAAATATTTTAAACAGAAGATACTTCAGCAGTGTGTCTGATGTTCTATTGTCTTGGTTGGATTACTGGTTTGTCTATTTTTAGCTTTTACGACTTTAGTGTGTAATTCTTCTTCTAAAGTACAATTTTACCACAGTACTGAATAATATTTGTTTTTAGGGGGGTAGTTATAATAATAAAAATATCAACATAAGTTAAAACAAAACACTAAAGTATTAAAAAAAAACGGTCAAGTGCGAGTCAAATTCGCACACGATAGGTTCTGCACCATCGTACATGTACTTTTTATTAATATGACATTTACTGTATGCATGTAGTACGAGTGTATTAACTTCGACGATCAATTACGAACTTAAAAAAAAAATTCTTATATTTTTATTTTTATTATTTATTGTTATAGCGGCATTAGAAATACATATACTGTGAAAATTTCTATGATTACTCTTACAGTTCATGAAATAGTCCTCTGACAGACAGACAGAAGGATGGACAGACAAAAAGCGGAGGCTTAGTAATAGGGTTCCGTTGACAATATTTAATTAATTGAAAATATAGTGTAATTTATTATTAACTTGCTCTACACAGTCATTTAAGGGTTAGAACTGTGAAGACAAGACCTACATGTATATTATAGCTGTTTAATAATTACTTAACTAATCATATAATCAATCTAGTTAGTAGTTACATAAACTATCTAAAAGCAACAGTATATACAATCAGAAAATATGTATGTGATTGACGGTAAACTTTTTTGTAATTTTTGTCTGTATGTCTGTCTGGGAACGCATCACGAGGAAACCAATGGACAGAATTTGATGAAATTTTCTATGATAGCTGGTTATCCGGGTCATTTTATAGGATACTTTTTACTGCGGGAATATATTTCATCTCTATGAATGTCTCTAATTCTATGTCGAATCTATACTATTTATTAACCGTACATTTAAGTATTTTGTTATAATTACAATTATAACGTCAAGTCTTTCATATATAAGACTCAGTTTGTAATAAGCACCAAAGGATATTTAATTATTATAATCACTTTGAAAGTATAAGTGATCGTTTTAAACAAGGATTTCATTTTCTTACACTTGCATTAAATATAAACTTGATTTCCAATTTGCTTTGCGCCTAACAATTTACTTTTCCCTATCTCTTTCTAAGCCATCCATTATCGTATTAAAATATAATGTTTATACTTTCTCGACTTAAAATGATTACTATTTTACGATGATATTTTTTTTTATTTCATTTAATATATATATTATTGTATTTTGAATTTGTAATAACCATATTCATTATTAATTATTTTTAACCCCTGACGTAAAAAGAGATGTGTTATAAGTTGAACGTGTGTATTTGTGTATATGACCAACACATATGTAGAAGCGCCTAAAAGGATGAATGCCTTTGAGATATGTAACACCTTAGTCTCTCCCGTGACCATGATTGCTGTAAAGCATTTGAAACGTCGCGTCGGGAACCAAAAATCAAAATAAATTTGCGAAAAAATCCGAAAAGTTAGTTTTACTTAAAGGTGATTTGATCGAGAGTGTTCTTAGCTATAAATCAAGAAAATCCGTTCAGCCTCTTGCAAGCTATCAGATCTTTTCTAGACGGTAAAAGCATATGAGCAACTTCCACAGATCTATTCCATTAGATACTTGGTATCCTCTTAATTCATTGACATTGCACGATTTCGTCCTCGGCCAGATACTGCAGCGTTACTTGGTATCTACAAGATTCTCAATTCTTTACTAAAAATCTGTAGAGATTTTGTGTTTAGGCTCATTCGAATCGGCTCAATGAATAGGTTTGTGAGATTTATTGTGTTGGTGTTTTTAAAAAAAAACCTCTTATTTCTGGTATTAATATTATCTGTAGAACTTTGTTGCTACTCACTAGGCAATTTATATTTATTTCAGTTGTATTTAACCCCTTTTTTAACTTCCCATTGCTGGCACAAACCTTCAATACGAGGGGGATCAGGTCGTAGTCCACCAAACTGGCAAAGTGTAGGTTGGCGGACTTCACATATCTTTCGAAAACTCAGTTTTCTCAGACGTGCAGGTTTCTTCACGATGTTTTCCTACACCGTAAGACAAGTAATTATGGTAAAAATGATTCCTATATAAAAATATCACAGAGCCAGACACGGGATTTGAACTAGCTTCACTTGATTTCCCAAGCAAGCGCCTTACCACTGGGCTACCACTGATTATAAACTGACACTTATTCCAGTTAAAAAAATCTTATTATTAAATATTACGAACTATTTACAGATAGAAATGATGACTACTTTCAATAAGATACACTAAAATTACTATTGATGGTCAATTCGAATGATCTACCATTGCTGATTCCATTCCATTCGTAATAGGTATTATTACATAGGTAATTTAATCGTTCATACGCGAAAAATAATTATGATCATAATATTTTATGCGACTACCTTATTCAGTGACATGCATTATATTACTGTGAAATATGTTTATTTATTTATGTTAAAATTCATAAATTATAATTTTAAATTAGACAGTTAATTCAACATCTATCATTTAATTTTTTTATGTTTTAAGTCATTGCGTATGACATATGTGTGAATATTATTTATGAACTAGCATTGCCCGCGCCTCCGCCCGCGTTCAGATGACCAAAAACCAAATTCTTAGGTTTATATATACATACTAGCAATGCCCGCGGCTCCGCCTGCGTTCAGATGACCAAAAACTAAATTCTTAGGTTTTACATATTAGT